GCTCCCGGGAATTTCCGTGAGCTCCTGGCAACTGCTCAGCCAGCTTCGGACGACCTCCCGAACCATCGAGATCGTTTCCAGAACCGCTTTAGATGGCTACACAGATCCCCGGAGCGGTCCAAGACAGCGTCAAGACGATCCGCTGTGGCCTCAAGATGGCCCAAAGGGCCGACAAGACGCCTCAAGAGGTCCCCGAGAGCATCCGCAAGAATGCCCTGAGAAGCAAATTCGCCTTCTGCGCTTTCACGGCGTCCAAGAGGGTCCAGGAGACTCCCAAGATCGCCCCAAGAGGCCCTGAAGATCACCCCAAGACGGCTTGAGAGGCTCAAAGGGGGCTCCAGAACGGCCCAAGGAGGAGGAGGAGGAGGAGGAGGAGGAGGAGGAGGAGGAGGAGGAGGAGGAGGAGGAGGAGGAGGAGGAGGAGAGGGCAACCCCGCCGGCAAGAGGCCCCCAAGACAGCCTGCGAACGCCCAAGGCACCCCCAAGAGAGGCTCCAATAGGGGCAACACCCACGGGCACGTCGAGCGTGCGCCCCCCCAAGGCGCCCCAGGGACGCCCCCAGAGGCCTCCAAGAAAGCTCGAAGGGCCCCGAAGAGGCCCCAACGAGGCCCCCGGCAAGCTCCACGAGGCCCCAAAGAGGCCCCCAAGAAACTCCGAAGGAGCCTCAAAACTGCACCCCATAAGCACCCGAAAGCCCTCCGAACCTACCCCAAGAAACATTCATGAGAACTCCCACCCGCGACCCACGACCCAGGCAACATGCCACCAGCAGGCTCAGAATCAGCCCCACTCTCACCCACGACCCACAACCCAGGCACGCTCCACGAGGCCTCAACGAGGCCCCCGAGAAGCCTCCAAGGGGCCTCAAAACCTCGCCCCCCAGAAGCCCCCGAGTCCTCCGAAACTGCCTCAGGAATCACCCATGATAACTCTTTCAGACAACCCATGACCCAGGCAAAAGGACCCCAGAAGGCACAGACTAAGCACCACTGTCGCCCACGACCTACCCAAAGAGGCCCAGCAGAAGCTCCATGCTTGAGGCCTTCAAACGGCCCCCATGAGGCTCTGAGAGCCTTCCGAAGTGTCTCCAAGCGGTCCCCCCGGAGGGGCCCCAACAGACACCAACAATCAACGGAGAGCGCTGAATGAAGCTCAGAGAGCCCCCCCCCATCACGAGCGGGAGCCTCGAGCATGCGGCCCCACGACGCCCCCCAGGACGCCCCCGAGAACGCCCGCAAGAGGCCCCAAGAGGCCCGCAAGAGGCCCCCCAGGAAGCCCCAGGGTACACCAGGACGACACCCAAGAGGCTCCCAAGAGGCCTCAACACTGCCCCCCAGATGCTTCCGAGAATCCCCCGAAGAGACACCAAGAAACATCCGTTGGGACCCTGACCCTCACAACCCAAGCACGGTGGCGGGATGGGCCGAAGGCCACTCGATCCGCCGCCCCCTGCTTGCAGGGGTGCACGGCGTGCTGGATGATTCAGGTTTTGGTTTTGGTTCTTTTTCTAAAAGAACTCCCCAGTGGGCTTCGGCCCGTCCCGCCGGGGTCCCGGGAGGAAGCCGAAAGGACCTCAATCCGGAAACAAATCCTCCAAAAAACGGCCGTTTCGCTCGGGACATCCTCAAAAAATCGCGAAGATGGCCCAAGATGGCCTCCAAGTCCGCCCGAGATGGTCCAAGACGGCCTCCAAAACGGCCCAAGAGAGTCCAAGACGGCCCAAGACGGTCCAAGAGGTCCTCCAGGAGAGTCCGAAGAGGCCAAAATCATTGATTTTTCCTTGGTTTTTGAAGGATTCTGGCATTTGCGCCTTTTCGGCTCTCCGACGGCTCGAGACGGCCCAAGAAGCCCCCAAGATCGCCCAAGAGGCCCCCAAGAGAGCCCCATGATGGCCCAAGTGGCCTCCAAGATGGCCCCTAGAGGGCCCCAAGAGGGCCCAAGAGGCCTCCAACACGCCCAAGATGGCCTCCCAGACGCCCAAGATGGCCTCCAAGACGGCCCTGGAGCATTCCAAGCGGGCCCCAAGTCGGCCCATAGAGGCCCCCCAAACGGCTTCCGACGGCTTCAGACGTGCCAGGAACCCACCAAGATGGCCGAAGTTGGCTCGAAGCTGGCCCGAGACGGCCCAAAAAGCCCCAAAGATCGCCCAAAGCTTGCCCAAGAGGCCTCCAAGACGGCCAAGATGACCTTCAAGATGCCCACGTGTTCCCCGAAGGCTTTCCAAACCGATTCGGGGAACACGTGGTCCGATAGCTTGGCAGGTCTGGCCTCAACGTTCGGCCACATAGGCGCTTCCAAAAAGGCAGGGGGCGGCGGTGATTCGCCGTAGGCGTCTTCGATCCGCCGCCCCCTGCTTGCAGGGGTGCACGGCGTGCTGGACGTTT